ATGAGTAGTATTTTCAAGTATTCAAGTGAATAACTTTGGATTCAATTCAATTCTCTATTCAACTCAATTATCAGTGGATTAATACTTAAAGAATTCTTCAGCCTTTCACCTTACCACTAACACTCCCAAAATACCATAAATAGATGGACGCCTTATGGTTGATAGATATGGACAGATAAAACTAGTAATTATTGGGAAAATACACTCAGATATTTTATAAACCTTGTCTTATTTTTTTGCTTAGGTGAACTTTCATGAAGTAGGCAGTCTGCTTCCCTTTATAGACGCTAGAAAATTAATAAAGAGACTAGTTAATAAACTTGGCTGGGGTCACATAATTTATAAGATGGGGAGCCATCATTAGTTACATGTTCATTCCAAGGCTCTGACTTTCCCCCAGTTCAGTCAACCTTCTACCTCCAATGACTTAAATTCACCCCAAAGTGAGCCTGGTTTAACATTTCCAAAGCACAGTTCTAAATATACTAGCCCCTGACTCAAAGTCACCATGCATCCCTGATTGCCTTCAAAGCTTTCTAAAATATGGTTCCTAAACTAGTCTTGCAGAATTCCCTGCCCCCCTTTTAGAATACATAAACCTTACTTCCCAATCAAATCAAACTATTATCCACGGACACATTCTACTCTTTTTTGCCTTCAGTTGTTTTTTAATTGAAATATCATTGATATACAAACATATTAGTTTCAAGTATACAATACAGTGGTTCAAAGATTACCCATATTATTAAATCCTCACCCCCACTAGTGCAGTTACTATCTGTCAACATAGGAAGATGTTACAGAATCATTAGCTAGATTTTCTACGCTGTACTACCATCCTTGTGACCAGTTTACATTACGATTGAGAATTTTTGTGCCCCTTTATCTCCCTCACCCTGTGCACCCACCCCCTGGCCCCTCCCCCATGGTTGTATAGAGAATTCACTGTAGAATGTAGCGCTCCCCTCCTCTCCACAACTCTAAAGGTTATTTCACTTCTTCGCAGCAAACATCATACTGAGGGCAGCTTACCGATCGCCTCTCATGCTGGGCCCCACTCATGCACTTTTGATTCCAAGTTATATTAAGAATATCTGTACACTCTTTGAGTTTTTAAATTTATACCCTGCCTTGCACCCCAAAAAAGGTCGAGGGTTTCTTCAAAGATGCCCATAAGTAGCAATAATAAAAAATAAAATAATTAAGAATGGACTCTGGATTCATGTAGGTTGGACCTCCGGAGGGTAGGTTTCCTATCAGCCTCATGTCCTCATCTTTTCGTATTCTTGAACAGTATTTTATAAGAGGTTTGGACTCAGGAAATGCCTATTAACTTCATGGCAGCTTTTTTTCTTAAAGCATCCCTTAAAAATTGAGAATTAGACAACTACTGTGTTTTTAATGTTTCATGTTTCTCTTTTCATTTTTTTCCTTCTAGTTATCAATCCCATCCTCAGAAGTTCTGTTTCAAAAGAGTCCTTTTGAAGAATTTGATACTTGAATTGATATTGTTTATTTAAATTCATTTTTACTTGTATGTGCAATTTCTACTTTACTGATTTTACTTTAATCTTTAACTGTATAAGGGAAGAAAGAAAATGTTCACTATATGGAAGGGAAAAGTCCTCACATCACTGAGGTCATATTAGCAAGCATGTTTGCGAATCATTTTCTGATAGGTTCAGGATGGGCATTATGAGGCTTGGCCCTGCTTTTCCTGGACTCTGTACATGACCCAGAGGGTTTCGTGGTTCCAAAGACATTCACCGGCATTCTCTCACCACACCTTTGCACCCATCTTGCTGTAGATCCAACTTTTTCCTTCCGCAGCAACGTCACAGACTAGAGTATCAACCCTAATCCCACTATCTTCCCGGAAGGAGGAAGAGAAAAGGGACATCAGCCACTGGTCAAGGATGCCTGAGTTGGTGGGCTGGATCCAAAAGGGAAAAGTCCCTTGGCTACAGCAGCTGTACACCTTGCCTGACACCATTTCCCTTCCAAAGATGGGCTGATGTGAGATTATGAAAGCCTAGCCATCTTGGTTCAACTCAAGACGATAGTAAAGGTCCACTATTTCCAGAGCCTAATTTCCTGTGCAGTGTAGTCTAGGTTTCCAAAGAAACACAGACTATAAGAGTTTAACATGAAGGATGTGTAAAATGAAGTCTGATTACATCAAAGTGATAGTATTTCCATTTCTACAACACTCTGGGATTGCTGAATGTCAGGCTTATCTTGTGGTCCTCCTAATGCATTGAGAGGATAGAAATCACTTCCTAGGGCATCCTCTAGGATTAAAAACATTAGGATTATGTAAATTGGTCACAAGGATGGTAGTACAGCATGGAAAATCTAATGACAAGGATGCCTGTTTGTACACTTGTTTGCTATCTTTCTCAGCCCCTAGGGTGTTAGCACTGTGAAGCCAGGGACAATCTGGCATCTAAAAGAGTTTGTATCACACAGTTATTCACAATTAATCATCAACAGTTATTGAATGAACTACCAAATTGTTTTTTATGATGGTATCACTAAGAGCTAAATATATATTTATACATATATACCCAATCTTTATTGTCTAGTGCTCATTTTTCATGGCAATCTCCTCACAGTTTAAACAAATTAGGCATTATGTTGTCCTGAGACACTTCTGTTACATGATTATTGTCAGAATGGAAAACACTTAAAATTTAGGGCTATGTCTGCAGGAGAAACTGCTAAATTGAATGCCAAGAATGTCAAAAGCCAGTCTCTTGGCACTGGAGCACTGGCAGAAGAATAGATCAAAGATTGAGCTATGGTGACCATGTACCAGAAAATGATTGGTGTCACTCACTACTCACCACAGGCCCCTTTCACTGTAGTACAGCCCCCACCCTGTTCTTTCCATTATTATAAATTAACATCCACATTATCAATAAAATTCATTGCAAACATTAGCATTAGTAAGAGAAAGAATATTAAAATCAGCACAAATCATGGCAGGCATTTCCAACAGCTTGTAGGAAGGCAAAAAGAATGATTATAAGCTAGTTTATAATCTTCTTGTTAAAAATAATATTTTTCCAATAACAAATGTGGTTAATTGCTCATTGTAGAAAATGGAAAAAAAGTTATGAAGAAAATAATTGCTTCCCTTACTCCCACTTTTAAGAAAGAAGCACTTTTTTAACATTTTGGGATTTAAGTGGTTTTTTCCTTATGGACTTTTATAAGTGTGTGTCAAGTTTGAATTTCTCTATAGCATTTAAAGGATAAAAAGTGCCATTTTTTAACTTACGTAGTCAACCCACTGCGCCTTATAAGCCCTTCTCTCATTGTCGGAGAGAAGTGTGGTTGCCAGGGCTCCCCATCAAATCCTTTTGTCAGAGGCACCTCCCCATTTCTGCCAGTCCAGAAAGCCTGGGAGACCAGCCTCTGGTCATTGCGCTGGTCTCCTCAGCACTGGGCTTCCGATCAAGGGTATGAAGTCCATGGAAGGGCAGACAGCTTCTCTAGAAATGCAACATCCTTTACCTAAGTGTGATCACCTGGGAACTTACCCTCAGCTCTACGATCTCTTCAATTGGTTCTCATACTAAACTACATTCATATTTGCACCTAGTTTTCAAGCAAGTTTACAATTTCTGAAAGAATGAATTTTGAGCTATTTATCTGAACTTTCAAGACAATGTTACATCTTTCTCTATTTCAAAAATAAACTTTTATAAATCTGTTGATGTTATCCATTGATTATCCTTAGAAACAAACATCTTCCTTTTTCCAAATACAAGCCTGTGCAGTGTTCCTAAATGATTTGCCTGTGTCTGAAGGGTGTTATCTGGGGCCACTTTGCAACCTGAGTTGGGAGTCATCTCCTGCTTCAACTGTTTGAGTGTCTAACATGCTGAATGAGTGGCACACAGACAACTTATTATTACTGTTGTAAGATAAAAATAGTTACTGGAGAGAAGACAGCATCTGGGCATTACCAGCCTAACTTCCCCTCTTCATCCATCAGTCACGAGAAGGAAATGTCAAAGACACAAAGTCACTATCTCAAGTTTATCAAGCAGTAGGCTTGGTGTTTCTGAAAATGATGAGCAGGAGACCCCACAGCCACGGCAAAGCTGGAAGGCGATGGCTGCATTTGCCAGCAGCAAAGGCCTGTGGGAAGTGGACGAAGCCACAGAACCGGCTGGGTTGACAGTGTGCGGAGGAAAGCAGAGAGCTGGGTGCAGGAAAGCCAGGACGAGGGAGGGCGCACGGGGCGCAGGAGGGCCGGTCGGTGGGCTCCTTTCCTAGCACCGCCGTGGGACGGCCACTGGCTGCACCGTCTCAGCGCGGAGCTCAGGGCGAGAGAAGAGATCGACAGCGACAGAGTAACTGGCAGACATTTCGGCATGAGCTGCATCCTAAGTCTCTGTCCACGCCGCAAACGCACGATGGTAACACCTGAGCAAGACCATCGTTGAGACATCACAGCGTACGGCCGGGGAGGCGATAGTCCGACGCCGGGGCATTTGTATTGAGACGCCCTCAGCCCCCCACACGGAGCACAGGGCGCCTAAGCTCGTACCCTCACTGTGCGCATCGCCACCTGCGGGAACCCAGCTCCCGGGCAGGCGGAGGCGCCTCCCGCACAGCTCCCCGCGGCGGGCGCCCTCCTGCGTCGCCCTCCTGCGTCCCGCCACGGCGCGGCCCCCTTCAGCCCCCGACGTCTCACCTGAGGCAGCCCTGGCCTCGTCGCTGCGGGCTGGTCCTCGGCGCCTGAGGCGTCGTTGGTGCCCTGAACGCGCGCTGACTGAGGGTAGAGGCCCCAGGACCGAAGAGCCCAGGTCTCCCGGCCAAGGAGAGGCCCGCTTGGGGACCCTGGGAAGCAGGCCAAGCAGTTGCACCTGCAGGTCGGGCCGAGGTTCCACGCGTTCCTGCCGCTTCCAGTCAGAGTGGGCGTGGCCTCCGGCAGAGGCGGGGCCATCCTATTCCTGCGCCTGCGCACTTCAGGAAAGGGGGGACTCCGGGCTTTTGCTGCCGCTGCGCGAGGCCCTGTGGGAGGCCCGTGGAGCGCGGGCCGGCGCGGTGGCCGCTGGTGAACGTGGCCGTCTCCCTCCGGCCTCGCTGGGACTCAGCAGGGGGAGCCGTGGTCCAGGAAAGAGTTGGGGGGCCGGGCTCGGCGGCTGGGCCCCAGACCCCCCCTGGCGGCGGCCGTGAGGTGAGGAGCCCGGCGCGGGGGGCTGGGGCGGAAGGTGCCGGACCCCTCGGAGGGCGGCTTCGGGCCGGGGGGCGCCTGGCGGCCTCCTGGCTGGGGCCAGGCAGGGCGTCTCTGTGGACACTTCGGTGCTTCTGGCGCAGCTGTGACACTGCTCTGGCTCCAGAGCTGCTGTTTCTGCGATCCGGGGTTATTGTGCCCGCGGGGCCTGTGCCTCAGGGCGCGGCGCCGGGTTCTGCCCCAGCTTCACCCAGGCTCCTGGGGTGGCGGCGAAGGAATGTGGGACGGAGGCTGCATCCTAAACATGGTGCCCCGCAGACAGGCCCAGAATAGGCTTGGGATGCCGAACTGAAGAGCCGGAAGTGTCCCCAGGACCTGCTCCAGGAACATGTGATGACGATGCCGAAGGACCGGACAAACCCAGGCAGCACCCACCTGGGGAGACCCGTGAGATCTTTATGCTTCAGACCGCAGCGTTCGCAAGATCTGACCCGAGGAACCTGGTGTCCCCGGAGCCGAAACCTCTGCATAAAAGGAGGATTCAAGGACGGGTTAAAAAAAAAAGGGATGTTACCTTAGAATTTCCAAGGATAAGAGAAGAAGCCTTGTTAGCTGATTTGAAAACGTCAGTGTACCCAAAACATCACACCTAGAAACATTTTTGTGAAACTTAAGCAAATGAAAGACAAAGAAACATATTTCCTAACCTCTAGAGAAGAAAGAAATCTTCCCAGGACGAAAACAAATTTCATTAGATCTACCTTAAATCTTCAACAGCAATTTTGATGGAAGAAGAAAATGAGTAGTATTTTCAAGTATTCAAGTGAATAACTTTGGATTCAATTCAATTCTCTATTCAACTCAATTATCAGTGGATTAATACTTAAAGAATTCTTCAGCCTTTCTAGGCATTTACCATGCCAAAGGGTTTACCATGCCAAAATCTATTTATAAACACTTGGGAAAGAACAAGAGTGGGAGAGAATGGTACAAGCCTATGGAAACAATGGTTTCACATGACTTAGTAAAATTTAATGTTTTCTCACAAAGCAAGGAGCAAAAATTTTTTTAAAAGCAAGAACAGATATATATCCTTAACAATTTAGACCAAAAATTCTTCATGTTTTTATCATAAATCTGCTGAGGAAGGGTGGAGAATGGAGAAAGAGACCATTGACTATGAGAATGGCACACATACTCATTTTGTTGGGATGATGAAATGGTAAACTGAAATTAGCAGGAAAAATAATTACACTATTAAGGAGAGAAGAAAAAGGAGTCCTGAGAGCAAAAAGTTTAAAAATAGTGACTTTTGAGCAATGAAAATGATTGAAATGGGGCTATAGGAATCATCCTGGGCAAATCTAAAAATGATGCTGAGAGATGAACAGCATGATCAGAGAAGAATAAATGCAATACCAGTTCATTTTTATAAAGCTCACAAGCAAAATCTTAAACTATATGTATTATTCAAGGATATCTATTGAGATAAATCTACAAAGAAATAGGAAATGGTTATCACCAACCTAAAAAGAATGAATGATACAATTGTGAAGGAACAATGGGAACAAGGTCAGGAAGTGGACCACAAGATACTCTAAAGTCCTAGTATATTTATGTTAGCGATGCATTGGTTCTTGGGGTTTAGTTCATTTTCTCACTTTACGTATTTGTCATATATACATTTTTATGTACAAAAGACTTCCCAACATTTTTAAAAGCAAATATTTATTGCAATTACTCTGCTTAATGGATATTGGATTTTCATAAATAACAAACTACATGCTAGAGAACAATTTTCGTCATTGCCAGTAACCAAAAAACTTACCAGTGGAGGTACATTGTTATTTTATCCTAAGACATCGTGCAAGTCTTTAACCTATGATGGAATTTGATGAGTGTACACCATGCTTTTTGTTGTTTCAGATACACTAATAAAAAATTACAGAAGTTGTCCAAATGGTGATAATGTGATACTTCTTGTAAGCCGAGGCACACAACTACTTTGTAAAGCAAAGTATACACAATAAAATACTGAGTGTTGGAAAATAACAAATATTATTTGTTTGGTTTCTGTTTGATTTTTAAATAGTCCCTATGTGTTCTTAGCTAAGAACATTGTTTTGCTTACTAAGTTGTTCTTTTAGAATAATTTCATATCGAGTTAATGCTGTCATTCATTCATTCAGCAAATATGTATTGTATCCCCCACAACGTCCCATGCATTGTTCTAAGTATTTCACACATGTTACTTTTAATATGATATTAAAAACAAAGATGTGGGATGGGTGTAATAACATGAAATCCAACTAGGTAAATTTGTGGTTCACTGTATGCTATTTTAGATTCATTAGATAAATGATTTGTGGTTGAAAAGTGAATGAATAAGTCAGAAAATGACCAAAATTCCTCTAGTACTCATCAAGTGCCAGTATAAAAACTGGAACTTGTGCCCCCTGTTCTATATCTAAAGACTTTATATCTGTCTTGTCTTCATTTAGCACATATATGAATTACCTTAATCTCTATTCTCATAATGTATCAGTGATATTTTTTTATTTCTCCTGTTTGCATTCAGACTGCCCTATGCTTTAGAAAATTAGGTTAAATGAATCAGTATGTTATCGACTACTATAAGATTCCAAGTGATGTCATTCTTCATGGTTAGAAAGACATGTCTGAGTCACGGAAAAGTTTGTATCAACAAACACATGAAATGTTTGGGGGTGTTAGATGGGTGTCTGAAAAAGGAGTATATGACTAAGTCTCTTGACAGCATTTTAAAATTACATTTGAGATGTAGATTTAACCAAGAGCCCAAATTTTTAACTGATACGTGAAGATTGTCTCAATAATACTCTGGTTGCTTCTACACACCACACTAGTGAATCACTGAGGAGATATTTTCATGACAAGAATGTATTAAGGGAATATGAGGGCAAACTGCCTACCTTCATTATGCCAAAGATACAGAATGTTAAAAATGCAAATAGACACACTCCTTTCTCTGCGTGCCTAACGCTATGCAAATAGAAACTTAAGAAGAAGCCCAGTATAATATGTAACGGAAGAGTAAATAAGCAAGCACACTCTCTTGACATATTTTGTGGTTCAGAAATATAAGTCTTTATGTTTATGAAGGAATTTCAAAATGCTGGTCTTCCATGTTTATACTCTGTTGCAAGATGTCTGAGTTGGAAGCTTTTTTTTCCTGGTGTGTTTTTACACAAAACTCACATGAGATTACTAATCTAAAATAAATATAAATATTGTAAGAGCCTGCATGAATATGGGTAATCTTTCATTATGTAAAGAGCAGCAGTCAGCACTGCAGGCTAATGTTTAATACACACTAAAGGAAGGAAAAATAATCAAGAACTTTAATAAGATGTAGGACATTAGCACATGTTGAGTTGTAATGAATATTCACTGTTGTTCTGGTTGATTTACTACTTTCTCAACCATATTTCAGAAGGCTATGCTTTGTTCAAAATATCTTCGTTGGGATATACACTGCTTACATAAAAAGTGTGTATACCAAAATAGTACAGTGTTCATTATGCATAAACACATGGGTATGTACAGGAAATAATGTTATTGAGAGGCATATTCAGTTCAGAAGCAAAGCATTAACATTTATCTGAAATGCAATATTTTGAACAAAATCAGTATTATATAATAATATTATATATAATATGTATTTAATGTATTATTCATATTTCACAATTGAATCACATTTGAATAGCTGGCCTAAATATGGCCCAATATTTTTGTGACATATACCAAAACCCTGAAGAATATGAAAAATATTAGGAAAATGGATCCAGATAAGAAACTGTATTTGAGGCACATTATTTGGCAGGAGCCAATGTGCTCAAGTTGTACCCCTCTTCACTGTGTCTTCTACATAGTATTCAGACTTATTTTTCTAACATGAAAATGCCATTATGTCACTGTCCTTTACATTCTTTTTTATCAATGCCTCTTTTCTACAGGATAAATTTTCCTTTTTATAATACCATGGTCTGGTTCTGCTCAGCTGTCATACACATTTCCTGTTTCCTCAGAAGTTGGTATTTGTTTATTTGTTTTTTATTTTCTTTTAATATATTTCTATTTTTTTCTTTTTCTGTTTATAAACCTGTTTTGGAAGTTATTCCCCTCTGTGATTTTGCAATAATTCTGCTCATTTTAGATGCTTAGAAGGATGTTAGCACCATATTCTGCCTTGCCCAGAGATAGGCATATAAGATCCAACTCTCTAAGTCAGAGTACCCCATACTTTTGGTAAGTGTATTTGGTTCAGCAAAGAGAAAATGACCCAAAATGAGCCAGTCCCCCTCTTATCCAGAACTTTTAAGCATAAGGAAAACAGCAATGACAATAACAACCAAAATCTCAACCTCTGGGGTAGTTAAACTGATGAATAGGAATCACCAGCTTTGGCCACTATCTTTGTCAACTCATGGAGAATGACGTCAACTAAAGGAAAAGAGATGAAGGATGGAAAGAAAAAGGAAGTCAGATGGTGTGATTTGAATCCCTGTATATTGTTATGCCAGAAACCACATTCTTTTTAGTTAAATGAGTACAAATACTCCTCCATGTCCCCCATATTTCCATCTTTATAACATCCTCCTATCTGCATTTGAAACATTAATATCCTGCAATGTTGAACTCTTATACTTTGCAAAACAATTCATGTAATTTCACACTTCATGGCTTGACAAAAGTTCCTTCATCTAAAATTCTTTCCCATTGCTTCTCAGCCTCATTAATGACTCCTCACCATTTCACTCCTAAATGAAATGCTTTCTCTCACTCCATCAGAATTTAGTTCATCCTTATTGTCCTCCTGCACACATGACATAATTTGGGTCCAATGAAAATGTCCTTTTGCCTATATGTTTTCATAGTAATTCCTACACAAGTTGAGGGCAAAACTGTGAATGTTAAAGTAAATCTTAACAGTATCTAGTACTTTGTGGGTTTTATATACATAC